TGAGTCAATTGAGCTGATGAGGTCGAACTACTCTTTATAAATGAGACAGTTCACACGCCGCCTTATATGATATAAAGTTTTTGATATAACTTTACCAACTCCATAAAGAATAGTCATAACTACTTTAACGTTGGGTCAACCACGTGACATTAATCCATGTGGCTTATTCATCATAAAATTCCCAAATAGCATCTATTCATTGCACGTTGAAAGCAAACAATAGGTACTTTAACAAATAACATAATGGAAAACATAGAGTTGTTAATAAACCTCTATGTTTTCCATTCAAATATATCTAATTCTGCATGGAAAATTATCATTTATATTTGCCCAGACTTCCAGCCAGACACAACATATTCATCGCTATGTAATCTGTATTATCTTAAGATTCATAAATCTGTGTAAATAATATAATTAACTTGTATAATTTACTGTTACTGCAGTTCGTTTTTTTAAGCTTAACAAACAATAAAAAGACAGCATAAAGAAAATGTTTGAATTTGAGCCAAATTAAGCACTTAAGGACCAATTCTGGTCTTTGGTGTCAAAGACCTCGTGGCATGCTAATAAAGTGAAGGATCCGATATTTTTAAAACCGTTTTATACACCTACAATTTAAGAAACAAACAAGTTGCGTCAACCCAATACTTGTTTGGAGAAAGGCGAATTTCCCGTTTCTCCTTATGCAGTCTTGTCCTGGCAGAGTAAGAAAATTACCAGAAGCCTTTTATTAATACAAATATTTTAATGTCCTCATTACAACGGGAATCTTACAGCATATCTTCCCTCATTTTATTCCAAAGATTTTTCATGAAGAAAAAACTAACTGTCATGAGTTTCGAAAGACAACGCCCAACGCAACGTTTACCCAGAAACATGACATAAAAACTTCCAAGCGACATAACTAGTCCATTTTAAATAATTACTTTTGGAAGTCGAAGTAAACCATGTCATTGACTGTTGTAGTAGAAGATCGGGTGTTTAAGTAGCAACAGATATGAGACACACCTCCCTCGTTAATCTAAATATATCGGCCATCCACGCGTCGTTTCGTCTCTGTTCTTTTCCTTGGCGGTACAAAGTCCGTTCTCTTCGGGACAGCGGGCGCAAGTGAACGACAAATGGGGCCTTGGTTGCAGTTACGAAACGAAACATTAAATTATGAATGTTGCACTAAAGTAATATAGTACCTCAATTAAATATGTTTTAAAATTGAGTACAAGTAAGCAAATAAAAGTTTTCTTTTGAAAAAAAAAAAATTTTACAAAATAAAAAAACCGCCTTCAAAAAAAGTCAAGCAATAAAAGTTCCTACACTAAAAAGTAAAAAATAACAATTTGAATTACTGTAAAAAAACTTAATTTATAGGTAAACTTATTTGACATTAATATTTTGCAAATATTCAAAATTTATTACTTATTTTTGGAGTCGGTGCCAGCATTTTGATGTTGAAACTTAATGTTAGTTAGGTTTTTAATATCCGGTGCCATTTTTCGTACATACTGCTTAAACATTTTCAATGTACTTAAAATGTTTTTGTAAGTACATATTTTTTATTTAAAAAAATGTGCAAATCGGACATTTTTTGTAGAGAAGTCTAATCTGTATTTATGTCTTAATTAATATACCTATATTTGAGTATGCAAATAGGTATTAAGTAGTTTTATAATTAAGTAAGAGGTAGTTTTTCAAGGGATTGTTGCCCATTTGTATTTCCTTGCATGGGCTGGCACCGACTCCAAAAATAAGTAATAAATTTTGAATATTTGCAAAATATTAATGTCAAATAAGTTTACCTATAAATTAAGTTTTTTTACAGTAATTCAAATTGTTATTTTTTACTTTTTAGTGTAGGAACTTTTATTGCTTGACTTTTTTTGAAGGCGGTTTTTTTATTTTGTAAATTTTTTTTTTATTTGTAGCCGTTTAGTGTTTTTTTTTTTTTATTATAATGTGTTATGGCAAAGAAGTCAATATCGTTCCTACATTTCTTTTGAAAAAGTTACCAATGTCATACTTATACGTAGAAATAGATATCATAGTACATTGTTACTGTGTAATCGTTTTGATCTCGAGGAGAGATGATATGATGCATGAGATACTTATGACTTATAGTTAAAATAAAATAATAATCTTATCATAAATTCATATTAGTTCTCGCCAAATAACAAAAAACTAGATATTTTCATCAACAGACAGATAAAGTTCAAAGATACAAATGCAATCTAATTTAGTATCTATGATTAAATACATTCGTACATAGAAAAAAGACCAATGCAATTATTGTTTTGTATCAATTGTAACCCATTAAATGAAGAATACTATTTTGTTATTACTAAGAACATTCATATATAGACAAGTTGGTAAAAATATAAAAGACCATCGCTATTGTAAATATACATTTATGACTCATTCAATGTATGAACCTTTTTTAAGTAAGTATTATCTACATATGTGCACACAAAAGAAACACAATTATTGTTTTGTACGACGCAATTATTGTTTTGTAACCCATTTAAAACGACTGTTTTGTTAAAAATGCCAATTAATTCTCTTAGCCTATTACCAGGAAAACGATAAGAACACAATGACGCATTTCACCACTAACGTGTAAACGCAGTCCACGTGGACTAATGCAAAATAGCCAATACTAGGCCAAACTCCGCCCCCAAAGGTGTGCGGTCCCGCTCTAGAACCTTTCGGCCCCATCGGCCATCTGTTCTACGAGCAATGTGCCGTGCCCACTGTCACTTAAGTTTGGCATTTCTTCGGGCTATGTCGGTGACGCTGGTTCTTCTGCGGATTTCTTCATTTCTGATTCGAACATGCACGGAAACTATGAGCATAGCTCTTTCCATTGCTCTTGACAGCTCTAATAAGCTTACACAATACTAGGCCCCATGCCAACCTTCCAGCTTCATCATCACATCAGTTCAATAGTACCTTACAGCCAAAGTGCATCTTATAACAATTCTAACAAGCCCAAACACGGCTAGGATATATTAATTAGGTACGCAGTTCCAGTGCCTACCTTCCAGCTCCATAATCATCATTAAATCAGTTCGATGATAACATTTCCAACATAATTATTTAAGATCATTGGTTTACAGTGCATTTTCATAGTTGCTGAACTACCTTGATTGTGATATCTATGCGAGTGTCAAGTTTCATCATCCATTTCTGATCTTCTTCACCAGTTCCACCTCATCAAACATTACTTTTTGACTGTAAATGCTTGAGTGCTCTATGAAAATATTAAAATTACTATATAGTTGCCTATAATATTTGAGGAGTTCCCTCGATTTCTCATGGATCCCATCATCAAAACTTGATTTTGAAAAGAATGGGACCAATCTGGAAGCATATCCTTTCAATCATAAAAAAAATTTTGCAAATCCGTCCATAAACGACGGAGTTCTGAGGTAACAAACATAAAAAATAAAATAAAAAAAAAAAAAAAAAAATACAATCGAATTGAGAACCTCCTCCTTTTTTTGAAGTCGGTTAAAAAATGATAGATTTTACTTAGGAACATGTGCACTTTCCTGTGGAACTTGGAAGCGAATAGTGCAGCTAAAACGAATCAATTACTAATATATCAATCATTCACTTGAGTTTCACGATAACATAGTTTAAAGGAGTAGTTAATTTAATTACAAACATTTTTTGAGTTTAACAGAGAAAGTAAAACAGTTGTTGCAAAATTTACACCAGATTAACTATCTGCTAAGTTTATTGAAAACAAATGAATTATTTAAAGTGCAATGTCATGATAACACACATATATACATTAACCTCTAGATGGCATTAGTTACATCACATTATGTAGATACTTAAGCCGAAAGAGGTAAAGAGCAAAAAGTTCGTTAATCATTGAATTTGGTGATGTCATTGTTTGTTAGACAAAGGCAAGGTTGAAGGCGTGTCGGTCGTGCCGCCATTTTATTGGTCGGTTTCAGCCATATCAACAGCCATAAAATGCCACTTGTACAAACCGCTCAGGTGGTATGACGCAGCTTGATCTTTAGAACGTGATAGGTACCTACTTAAAACTTGAATTTAAAGATATAAGAAATTGTCTTTATCTATACTCGTTCTGAATGTTGTTAATGACTTATACTAATTCAAATAGTGTTATAAATTTTAGGAGAATTATTTAGTTCCTCGTAGCAACTTCTTAGCTCGAAACGTTATATATAACTAATCTTCCTCAAAAGATAATGCTTGGTTATATCTCTGCCGGGTATATTCATTGGAGTCCTTGGAATCCAGCGTTCGGTCTAATAAGAATAAACTTTAAAGTTTTATCAATTTGTGTCAACGTTTAATTTTGTGAAGCTGAACCAATATTTGTCGGCAAGAATTTCTTAGAATCCTCATCTAAATTTGCCGTATTCGCTGCGATGACCCATTTTCAACAATTTATGTTATCTAGGTTTTATATTTATTTCAGTTTCTCATATTTTTTTTACTATGTAAAGTTAAGTTTATAGATCAAAGTAGACGTCAGTTCCCTATCGGTTCACAGTATAAACATTTTGTTTACAGTGTCTAGGAATGATTGAGTAAATTATTTATCTTGATTGTGACCCGGACTCTCAACAAAGGTTAATGTTAATCATTCATATTTAGCTGACGAATGTCTGCAGCAATCTAATAAATAATTCTGGACAAGTGTGACAACATCTACTATTATTGGAAATTGGAACGCATTGAGAATTTAATTAGACACGCCCACAATTATTATTCTGTTTGATAGCCGTTTATTGCTTTTGATATAAATAGGTACACATTTGATTGTCCACTAATAATACTTTAGTACGTGACTTTTATCTAAATTGGTATTTTTTTTTCAGTATGTAGAAATGTTTGCAGTATCATGCCTCTACAGCGCTCTCATTTACCAAATAAGTTAGGAACATAATATAAATTGGTCCTTCGATCCACATGTCTTTACAACGTTAGGCTATATAATCATGATTTATTTTCCATTGTTCCAGCATCCATGCGCTCACGCCGCATCAGTCAGTTTGCACCACTTCTCATCGCGCTGGTTGGTCTACCAGCTCGCGGCAAGAGCCAACTTGCCCACAGACTCGCCAGACATTTGAACTGGAATGGAGAGAGCACAAAAGGTAAGCAAAAATAAAAGCTTTTAAAATACAATAAAAGAAATCTAGAAATATGTGAGAAGTCAATATTTAACGAAAGAAATATATAGTATTTTTATAGAAGGCGGCGGTTATAATTCTAGGTAAATTGATTACTTAGGACCAAAAATTTACAGACAGTACTTTATGTGTGGCGTGCCGTCTTATGATAGTCACAACAAAACATAAGATTGCTGGAATCCAGTAATCAACAGTAGCTGGAAACCCTAATTAATTGTCTGACAAATGAACTAGATTGGAATTATGATATATGACTCTCTGTTTATAAGCCATTAAACAAGTTATTGCTATGGTTTATGCTTTGACGTCATTTCAATTGACTTTTTACAACGCGTCTGGGGCTGGAAGTCACGAGATTATTAGGAACTAAATAGCTTTTGGGGATATGTTACAATTTGTCTTTGTTACTTTCGGAAACTTCGAGAACGTGCGAAAAATTCTTCTTACATCTTAAATTCAATGTTGATACAGCAGTGTACGCCACTATGATGGATAGTATTTGATTTAAGTGTATGCCCCCCACTAAGGGCAACCTTATCTTAATTTTCTACAAACTCTGATGACATTTTTGCAAAGATTATGATCGATGCATCGTGACTAGCTTTTTCAATGTAAAACCATTTTCTTTGAACACTTAAGTGGTTTTGGATTTTCCTGATGATTATTTTGACATTATTATGAATAAGGTGAAAGCGCTATCATATAAGATTGATAAAGATAAAATTAAATATGTACCTAAATTATGATAAGATATCCTTTTTGTTAGTAGTCTATATTTTCTGCAATATACGTTTACGATTCGATGCAATTTTTGTTTAAATTATTTCCATCTTAATTGTCTAGACCTAGATTTGCACAGCAAGCCACCCGATCTGTATTTTAATAGTGGTATTAAAAGATAGTTATTTATATTACAGATTGAATTACAGTGTGTACTGTTCACGAAGTTGTGTCAACAATATTGTGTTTACATACACATTAGCAACTGTAGAAAATCACATAAGCGTAGACTGCTAGTAGGTACCTACTTAAGACGGTAGATATCCCTGACCTAGATGTTAGACGTGGTCTCGTCTCATAACAAAACACTCACGATAGTACAAGAATATCTTTGTACTGATCAGATACATCATGTTGGCTTCATCTTGATAAAAAATCTGTTCCAATTTAGAATCTAGAGATAGCAAAGCATATAGCTATTCCTAGTGTTCTTTGATTCTATATGCGTTAGATTGCATTACAGTATAGGTACAAGCTAACAGGGGATTATTGCATCACACTTGTAAACGTAAACAAAATAATATTATGAAATGTCGTTAAGGTAATATTATCATGTCAAAGTACACATTTAAAACAAACACTTCATAGACAGTTCTACAAATAAGTTTCTAAATTTGAGTCATCATTATTTTATGTTTATTAAAGCACTTTAGCAGTATTTGTAAACAGTTATGAATGTTTGTCCCTCCGCATTTTGTATTTATGCAATAAATAAATGCTTACTTATACATAATATAGAAACATGTATCAAAATGTCGCTGTTGTAAGAATTGCGTAATGCGAAAACTTACTTGGTAATTTCCTTGTTTATCAAACAAAGCAATGATTGTAATATAAATTAACGCTGCTGAAAAGGTAAAGAAAATGTGGGTGTTGTATAAACAACGGTGACACGTGAAAATCATTAAACATGCCCAGTACAGGAACATTCTAGAGTAGTCTGGCGAGGATCAATGGAAAACAATGTTATGACTCTTGCCGTCTGTTTATTAAATACAGTCCTTACTTTCTAATGCAATCAGTTTCTTTCTGTGTTGTTTAAACATTACCTATTTGCTTAGATACACTTCTGTTTTGCCTAATTTAAACATTGCTAGTTTCTAGTTAGCTTATTTGAACACTGTGGCCCATTGAAGTAATTTTAACCCTTGTTTTTTGTTGGTCCTTCGCGTCGCTTGTCCTGACGTTTTGGTCCTTTTGCCTTCATATTTTAAAAGTAATCAATGTTTAAAAATTATTTTGCTTCCAGTGTTCGACTGCAGCGAGTACCGTCGTCGTCACATGGCGTTGTATGGCAGCCATGACATTTTCCGTGCTGACAACGCCCAGGGTTCTGCAATCCGTCGCCAGAGCGCTCGTGAGGCTGTCCAAGATGCTGTCCTTTGGCTCAAGGACGGAAACAGTGTCGCTGTAAGTTCTTTTGATGCCATCATCATCAGATTACATTTTCTTCGGTCGGAAGTATAAGCTTCTTATTAGAACGATACTGAACGTAAACAACATGCATAGGCTCAAGTGCAAGACTAGGTGTAAAGAAGATAATTTGGTCCTTTTAACCTTGTTGCCCTGTTTCAGGGAAAAAAATGTTTGGATATTCTGATGAAAACATGATGAAAAACTTTATCACTTGTCATAAGCCGTGATAGGCGAGGTTGATTCGCAATTAATGGTGTTAAGCCGTTGATTAGTTTAAACGATGAATCATTAAATAAATGTTTGTATTCTATTTTTGTACTAGATAGTGTAACTGTGTTGTAGCATTTGTGAACCAAAATTAAACCTATGATGTAGAAAGTTAATAACCCTGAAACTGCCAAACCTCTTTTTATAAATAAAACGTGATTCGGGTAATTGCTTTAATAACTTGCTCGTACCTATTGTATGGTTGATTGACCAATGAACGTATTAGAAGCGTAATATTGTGTAGGGAAATAGCAAATTGCACGTGCTTCTGTATAAGAGTGTTACGTAATGTACAATAAAACGCTACGAATGTGTTATTGTTTCTAAGCACTAACAACTGTTTGAACGTGGTGTTTTATTACACGGAACCGTGAACTATTGATTCGTAAAAAAACGGCGTGGACGCTAACTTACAATACCGCTGTTTACTTTCTTAGAAGATCGGAGAGATTTATAATGACAATTGATAAATATCTCCTGCATGTGTCATTCTACTATCATTTGAATCTATTTATAGAAAATATTCTTCGATGTTCTTGTCAAGGATTAATTACGTTGATGATTCAAACTGTACTTAGGTATTAGGCAGACAGGTTTAGTCATTAAGTATATCATTGTTTTTACAAGAAATAAGCTATTTTTATCAAATCCAGTTTAAAAATCGTGATTAGATAAAGAATATGGATTTTATTATTTGTAAACTTACGTAAAACACGTCATATTGTTTCACATTGAGTTGGTTTTTGCGTAATTATTTTGATATTTTTCCTCGTTCTTTTGTTTGCAAACAAATTTAATTTATCCGATTCTGTCATTCGATTTGCAATGTTAACCTTTACCTACAGGGAAGAATTTGCAGAAAATTACGACTGAACTAGAATTTTCTCAAAAATAAATACATACCTAACTGATCCGTTCATTTTTAATTCCTTCCAGATCTTTGACGGCACCAACATCACGAGGGAGCAACGCCGTGAATTGAGCGAATACTGCCTCTCTGATATGGGATTCAGGATCCTATTCATAGAATGCGTATGCGAGGACCAAGAATTGCTCGAGAGGAACATTATTGAAATCCTCCACTACTCCGCTGACTACAAGTCCATGAGCGAAGAAGAAGCTGTAGATGATTTGAGAAAGAAATTGGAACATTACATGAGGCAGTACGAGCCTATTGACGCTGAGTTGGAGACAATTAGTTTTGTTCGCGTGGAGAATGTTGGGGAGACGGTGACAGCTCACAGGGTTGCTGGACAGAAGGAGTCTGGTATCCTTGGATACTTGTCTGGAATGAGGGGCTTGCCGCAGACCTTATACTTTACTAGGGTAAGCATTTGATCTTATTTTGATGTGCGACTTCCTTTATTTGCTTTCCAAGTATAGATTTGTAAATAAGTACAGATAAATTATATAGATATAATCGCATTTCCGCTTGAAATAAACATGTTTTCCGAAGTAGGTACATGTTTATTTTCGCGCCAAAAGATGGCGGGGGTCGCCATTTTCCCGCCAATAACAACTTTGTTATTATAAACTCAGTCTATAATATGTATAGATGGATAAAATTTGAGGATCCTTGCGTATAAATATTGTGATAGGAAATATATTGATCTTTCTTTGGAACTTCAAAATAATTCTATTTATATCGATCGAAACAATTTTTGCTGCCATTTTCCGTCGCTAAAATGTCTTTGATACAATCTCGTATGTTCATCAATCAATTAAAAGCAGATACAGTGGCTTGTCACTGATTACCTAAACGTCCAATCGTTTTGTTTCTGGACGCCGTTCAAGGTATTATAAATGCCGTTTCCTACGTCATAGACCACAAGTCCAGTCTACACGCGATGTCGCCACAAATCCATACAAGTGCCAACTACGTCACTTCACCTAATAAACTATCAATAATATTATTTCCGTGTATAAGTACGAGTAAAACCGTATGCGACAATTAAAATAATTTAAGTACAATTTAATTTAAATAGTAGGAACAGTTTTAAAATGTTGAAACTAGCGTTTCTGTATACTTAATTTAGACGCACTAGATAGGTATGTTAGAAATAATTGGCCATTTACTAGATAGTAGGTTCCTACTTAGGAACGGTTTCACAATGTCAAACACAGCGTTGCAGGCTGAGCGCATTAAGGTACAGCAGTACCTTGGGCGAGAGAAGCAGTTGGTAATAATTTGCCGCCTCGTAAAAAAATACGAAGCGGTAGATAATCTACCGGATGAATTCAAATATAGAAGGCAAGAATTTACATGAATTTTCAAATTGGGTGCACGGCAGTGAACAGCAAAGTTCCAAAAAAATAAACCTTTTTGAAGTCATATTTTTTAATACTGTTTTCACAGGTCTAATGTGTGAATGTTTATCCTAACAGCATGGGGAAAGTGAGTACAACGTGCTGGGTCGTATTGGAGGTGACGCATCCTTGTCACCTCGCGGTCTTCTCTACGCACAAGCACTGGCTGACCACATGAACGCTTTGCCGTGCCGCGACCACATGACTGTGTGGACATCCGAAAGATGGCGCACCAAGCAGACTGCGGCCCATATCAGAGCTCCGAAAAGAGTCGTCAGGGCACTCAACGAGTTGGATGCTGTAAGTCAAAAAAAATTTTTTTCATATCATTCATTTAGACACGATTACATATTATTAGAAGTAATTTTTAGTAAGTTTAAAATAAGTTTGGTTGGCGTATAAGTGTTTTCCTTAAGCGAAATAATTAAAAAGGATTAAGATTAATAAATCGGTCTTTGCTTATTATTATTGTCACTGGAAATGCTATTGGATAGTAGATACCTATGTCTAGGACAAACAAACTTAGTAAAATATGAGAGTATGTTATAGTGAAATGATAATTTTAAATGCCGTTATACTATCAATTACATAAAAGGTTTCGAACCAAAACAAAGTCTGTTAATTACTTTATGATTTATGAATGATAATAATCAATAAAAATTATAACAAACAAATTAATCGAACAGCGTGATTAAATTAATGTGACCCCAAGCTAATTATTGATGACACATCAATAATATTAAATTAGCAACTGAAAAGGGTAAATGATTACCTACGAGGCACTTATACGCTAAATAATTTTACATTAATCAATCTTATCGATCTATCACCAATTAACACCAAACATGCTACAATTAAAGATAATAAGGAAATAACAATACTTGTCATAAGAAGGTAGATTTGAATTGTTATCTAAATTTGTATTTCAAAAGCTTTTTATTGTGTTACGTCGTGTTGGAGAAAATGACGTGGAGCTCTAATTACATGTACTTTCCAATTATGTTTTATACTATTTTGACCTACTGTAGCAACTGCTAAGATACACTACACATATCCATTTTAAATATTTACGCATTTAAACTTGGAATTTAAGATGCAAGTTTCGACCTAAAACACATGTATTAAGTAAAAATATAACAGATAGTTCCCTATATTAAAATTGAGGTTTTAATTTTAGTTACACCCCCAGCAATAAATCTGTAAATTTCATTCAATTCAATGCAGTAGTATTATAGGATAGATACAAACATACAGACAGACAGAAATTCTAAAAATAACTCTTTGTATTTCTGTTACTCTAATAATGCTTAAGAAAAACGATGTAATGAGAGGATTAGTTTTTGTTATATCTTTATTATATGATTTGTTTTTTGCAGTATATTAGTAACTAAGTAATACTTTAGGTATAATTTTTCGTCTATTTCCGTACTATATAAGATTTCATTAATGATAAAGAAGTAATCACTAAACAAAGCGTTGAGTGATTCTAAAATAGACTTAAGGTGTGAGAAAATATTGACTATTTTCAGCTGTACTTTTCTAATAAATTTTGGGTGGACTTTGTACTACCGCTATCAATACAATTTATTCCTGTGATCACGTACACCTAGCTATCTACCTATTAGTACATCACATAATTATCTCTTATCATAGTTGTTATTGATCGGCCCCCGGAGTGGTGTGACCGCCGCGTCGCCATATTTAAATTAATATATTATGAAACCATACTGTTTACAGACTAGTGTTTATAATTCATTAATGATAAGCTAATTTAAAACAACCTAGTGGGGTATTTACTTTTCTAGTTCCTTGATGTAATTACTGATAGGTTCTTCTCGGCTTTTCTGATAATTCATATTATTTATCTGTACACTAAGAAAATTTAAATCCTCGTCTGGGTATACGGAAGAAATACAATAAAAATCCTTTAACTAAAATTCTAGGTACTGATAAAGTCCTGCTTTAGTTAGCATATCTCGGCCATGGACTTCTAAAATAAGGTCTTCTAAGGACTTCTAAAAGAATCAGAAAAACAACCCAAGAAGTTTGAACAATGACTTAGAATCGGGAATTTAAATCAATTTACAACTCTATTTTTAGGAAGCGCTAAAACTGGAATTTACTATGTAGAATAAGTTTTCTTGCTAATGAACAAATAACAATTTTTGTTTTAAAAACCTTTATTAGTGACTGCTGCTTAAAAATACACTTAACATTAGAACCAAGCAAATACTAGGTCGTTACAAATTAATAGTAATTTATTACGGAATCCATAAAATAGATGATTTAATCTTAATATTGATCACAGTTGTCTTTTTTTGTAAGGGGAAAATCATTAAATGACTTCTCCTGCCCAGGGTCGAGTGGGAGGGAGTGTCAGACTCTTACTGACTAAAAACCCCCCTGTTCCTTCTCCTGCATTGCGCTTACTCCGCAACCCCGACTGGACTACAGTTGTCTTATACTTACGATTTACAGCGTAAATGTAAATGCGACCTACAACAAATGACGTCATTAAACAATCGTAATTAATATAGGAAAAGTACTATCATTCTATTGACACGTACAAACTGTGAATGCTATTCATTTTACTGTCGCCATTGTGACTCAGTACAAAAACGTAGCTCTGACATTGAACTGAATAAAAATAGACTGAAACATAGAACATAATATTTAAACTGTTCGCAACAAGATGTAATAGACGATTTGATTGCATGATTATTTTAGTCGATGCTGATAATAGTTACAGGTCGTAGAACTCAGTCGTGAGATGTTTTATACAGAGCTTGTAATTACGAATTTTTATATGCTCTAATTCCAACAATGGCTATAAATAAAATTGAAATGTTTTTCTAGCTACGAAATATGTATAAAACAGATATAATGACGCCTCATCTAGTGCCAAATAATAGACAAAATGATTAATTGTGCTTATAATTGCGTGTTCACGTGTTTTTCCACGATATAGAACTATCTAAACTAAAACAAACGCAGTACGCATGACATCTGAAATGAGGCACGTGTATGTCGCTAATGGTAATCCTATAAACATGTTAAACCTTTCAAAACTAAACCGATTAGAGAGATTTGTAGTCAATAAATATCTCTCATTGTGATTTGAAACCTTAGTTTCTGTACTTATAGTCTTTTTTCGTTTTTTCTTCAGGGTATCTGCGAAGGCTTGACATATGAAGAAATGCAGGAGCGTTTCCCCCAGGAGTTTGCTTGGCGTGATCAGGACAAGCTTCGATACCGCTACCCTTGGGGAGAATCTTACATTGACATTATGACGCGTCTCCGACCAGCTCTGTCTGCGTTGGAAGATGAGCACAATGTTGTTGTAGTTGGACATCAAGCAGTGCTTCGCTGCATGCTTGGATATTTCCTGGACGCTAAGCTTGGTAAGGAACATTTAAATTTTTTGATCTACCCTTTCTTTCCACCTAATTACTAATTAGTTGTATAATTTATTTGCACTTATTTTAACATTGACAATATTTCCCATTACATAAAAAGTTTGTAAAAATCCTTAGTCATAAATCAACAACAAAAACCATTAGGAAAAATCTGAATTTGTAAAATAAATAATGATTTTTGCTCAAAAATCGTTTACGATATAGATATTCTTTACCCGTTTTGTCAATCCTTGAGTGATGCACACGTACACTTTATTCATTAGGTATGGTCATTCTAAAAGCTTCAGTTCAGTGTTTCACCTTCCAACTTATGTTTTCAGATGAGCTGCCGTACATGAACGTCCCGCTCCACACGATCGTGAAGCTGACGTCCTATGGCTACAAGTACAAGGTGGAGATGATCAAGCTGCCCGTGGACTGCGTTGATACTCACCGCCAGCAGCCCAAGGTAAGCATTCGACCCAGATATAGAGACATTTTGAAATGTGTACAATATGAAACGTGCGTACTCCATTTTAAAATGCTGTCAACGCGCCTATGCACTCCTCTGGTGTTGCAGATGTAAACGATGTTTACCCTACTATTATTATTAACCAGAAAGTTTGTATGAATGGATGAATGTCTGTCACTAATCGCGTTAAACCTACAATATGGATTTTGATCTGAATTAGATTTGATATATTATAATACCAGATACATAGATAAGTTACTTTTCATTATGAAGCCGCTGGCAAAGGGTTCTAAATAAAAAAAAGTAAAAGGCATTTTATTAGCCTGTAAATCTAAAACTTTCATAGAAATTACTCACAAGATAATAAAAAAAAAACCATTTCAGTGGAACGGAGTAAAACCTTAACAATAAACCTAACTATAATGATGGCTCAGTCTCCGAATGAGAAGACAACTTGGCACTTTTTTGTATTTATGTTTTTATCATACGGTGTGATTATTAGGAACTATAAGATTACTTAGATGGCAGCCAAATAACCAGGAAATACCTGATATAGTTACGACTCAAATTACTTACAGACTGATTGGTGACAATATGCAAGTTCAAAGATCACTTGAATTATGAAGTTGGCGAACAGATTTTTGGTACGTCGCATTGCCAAATAGTATCTTTGCCACGTGTAGGTGGATCTGCCATCTCTGATTGAAACTCTGTTTTTGTTTTGCTTTTTGTTTTCTTTTTACATTTAACTAAACCTCGTTAGCTAATGTGAATGAACAATATTTTTACGATTGGCAAAATCAATCAAAATGAAATTAAAACAAGTGAATTAGGTAACAAGTCTGACGGTGCATTTCATAACGTTCATTTTAATTCCAATAAACTCATGTGTCGTAGTTTAAAAATTAAAATACGTTCCTTCTATTTTTAAATTCATTTATTTTTTTTTATTTATTCAATAAACTTTTTGGTACAAAATGTACAATGGGTGACAGACAATGTTGCTAATTAAAAAAAACATATAGGTGCAACGTAGCGGTTATTCAGATAGACATTGTAAATCAGGCCATATTAATGCTTCAATTTTTAGCATAGCTACAAAATACCTAACCACTTCAACGGGTAAAATGTTAAATCAAAGTTCCTCGTATAATCAGTGTATGGAAATATTTTTGCTTTAGTTACATGAGTGATGAGTGATAGCTGTAAAAAGCAAAGATAAATATTATATTGATATGCAATGTCACGAAGTAGGCAACTGATACAGTGTGTAGGTATAATATGACAAAAATTACTTTCAATGTTTATTTAATTTTCTACTTAGTTGGAACTTAGCTAGCGTTAGTAACTTCATTTAGTACCTATTATGAACACGAATAAAAAAAATGATATCTTTGTAACCTTTTTTCGACTTAATAGAGGGTGCCGCGGTGTTTTAAAAGAATGATAAATACCTAAATAAAAAAACCAAGAATATTTATTAAAAAATCATATTGTAGCAGACTAACACTACGATTAAGTTTCAACAAAAAACCATAAACTTACGAACGCTAAATAAATAAAAAGAAATTGAAAAAACAGTACCTTCTCAAAAATTTACTTGTGCACGTTTCACAACCATGTCCCAAGTACCTAATTATAATTCCTCTCACGATTTAGATTTGTATCTTTGTACCTAATGTACTTAATGTTAAAACACACGAAAATAGTTATTGGCACGATACGATGCCACGTTTGTGCTAGATTTGTCTGCATTCGTAGAAATCTCTTGACATATTTAAAGTTTAATTATTTTTGTATTATAAAAAAGTATATATTGCATGCTTCTCGCCTTCACCCGCGAATCATAATATAACACTGAACATAATTGAACCCTGTGGATTTCGACAAACACATTACACGGACTTGGAAACCGTTAATCTTAATTCCAACTTATACCGCTTTAATTTTACTTGACACGTGTTAATTCTACATAAAAATTTGTCTAATATTATCCAGCTTAACAACATTAATTACTTACGATAATATCCATATAGAGATATATTTTTATCTTTAATTTGTTTACTTTAGACACGCGCAATAAGAAAGTTCGTGAGTTATTTAAATCTTAATCCTTCAGAAGGATTCCTTCTAGACAACAGAATTATACCGAAGCGTCAAAACGTTTAGGCAAAAATGACATCATGCTGATATAATATATGTATCGTAAGAAACAAAGTCGCAGTTATTCGTATAAGTTTATCAATTAATTTCTTAAAGCTTGTTAATCAGTCACTTGTTCAAAACGTGATGACCGATAATGTACCTTTTGTACGTACAAAAAGAGTTTTATTTAATGTTATTATTTTATTGTTACAGAACTGCTCAATAAACAGGACATCGGCCGATGCGTTGGTCACGGTACCGTCCCACTACGACACTCTCCCGTCGAACCTTTGGCAAAACCCAACTGAGGCGCAACTTTAGGCGCCACGCCAGGGCTAGCGATTATCGCCGCCCTTTCCTACCGTAGCAGCATTAAATGGGCACTAAAGCCCCCGGACCAAAGGTCTAACAGTCCACGGACTTGAAAAACCATGGACGAGGAGAGCACGCCACGCCAAGATGTTTCGGGAGTCATCTAGCGATCTCTAAAATGAAAGACTGGTGTGAGTGACCCTTCACCGATGTTTGAATTTATACGTATGCACGCCGTACAATAGCCAATTATAATTTTAAGTGTAGACTAAATCAATTATATTTTATTTTTAAACCAGTGTTGCCAGACACGTCAATCGATCTGTAAAGCTCAATTGAATTCGTACAAAATAAGATTATTTTAACAAAAAAGTGATGAAGCACGCTGTGTGAATCTTCCAACGTTATAATATAAGACTGAAAGTGTGAACTCTTTAACAATCACTTCATCATAAGTTACATAATAGATAGTTATGTTTTATTTTCTGTTCTTAAAAGTAGGTACGAATTACGAAATAGCTCCCTGTTATTTTTAATGTTGCCCCTTTATTCATAAGCTTAACGCGCAAGATGGAAGCTTTGTAGATGCCTAAGACATATCTCTCTCACTCATATACTACTGACTAGAATGAGACAGCAGTTATTTGCGTGGAATTGTAGTTTATGAATAAAGGTAATAGTACTAAACTTTTTAGAGCGTAAAATAGCCAAGTTTTTATTAAATACTTTATTTAGACGAATAGTTTCATAATCACTACGGACATTCAGTTCTAAACTATATTCCTTATCCTAGCTCTAATTATAATTAAGAATAAACTACGTCTAAATAATTAAGTTGTTTAAATATGATTTCACTTATCATTGTGTGATTTTTACTGGTACATAAGCCGGGATTAATATCGCAATCTTACATATTTTATGATGTTAATGCAATCTTGCTGACTTAAGCGTTGTAGAGGTGAAAGTAATTATATAGTACCTACTTTAATATTTTATTTAGAAGAAAAGTACTTAGCGGGATAAATAATGTTGCAACTACTTGTAATTGTTCGTAAGCCTACAGCTAAGTATCAGTAGGGTAACGTTAGTATTACAGTGTGTCAATTATTGGACTGACCAGTACAGAATGTAAAAGTCTATTTGTAATATGTCATGGGATATATATGTAGAAGTTTTAATTGTCTTCGTTGCATGTCTTATTTTTTTTATTATAAAATAAAATATACACTTAATGAAATATATATAATATGATGTTGTTTTATTTATAGTTTGAGTTATGTATAGGTATGTCCTTTCTAAGTTTATTTAGACACCACTGGGAAACGGTGAAGAAATCATCGTGACATACAAACATCATAACTTCTCGAGCCCAGGGTGGAGCGAGTGGGAGATTCTGACGCCTACTGAGTAAATACCTCAAATAGTAAAAATATATTTAGTGAGCAATAAAGTACCACGTCGGCTGCACAAAGAGCGACTGTGATGACAGTTACTCTACCAAGGAGTCGTGTGGTCCCTTCCCACATGAGGATAATTTGTGTGGTTAGTAAATGACTTGATGGTTAATACAGCCAGGTGTATTTAGCCATGACTGATATAAACGATGAAGGACACTTTGTGAGAAAACCTGGACTTGTAACTTTAAAATCGCCTATCTGCGTTGCGCAAGTGTGATGAATAAAACTCAAACTATTTTTTATACAATTGCTCAGCAGTGAGCACTTATAGGCTGAAGATGATGACGATAGCAACTGAAATCTAAACATACTTAAAACACCCAATAAACCAAAACTACAGTAGAAAACCTTCAGGCTAGGTAGGTAGGCTATTAATAGACTAGGCTCGACTTGGCGATTGCACTATCGTGCCCCCATATGACGTGTTACCTTGTATTTGTGTTGGTGAGATTTCTTTCCTCTTATTTTTTTTGATACAAGCTGAATCAAAAATTAAGTAAGGAGACTTTTTTGGGGAGGAAATCTCCTGTCCTGAGTGGGGCCAGAGGGGATGCCATACTCTTAGTGCCTAAGTCACCCTGTTCTTTTCCTGATCCAGGTCAGGGCGCGTCATCATCGCGCTTGCACTCGCAACCCCGGCTAAATAAAGTAACGAGAATTGATTTCAATTGTAGTTCAAAATGAAGCGAATTATTTTAACGTTTAGGCTCTCTAACACTTAACAAAATTATTTAATTGGGGCTGTTGTGGTTTAGTCCATTTTGACAACAAGGACTTTTTGGGATACTTCTTTAATTTATTACCAAGATATAAAAATTGTGTATGGGCACATCGTAACGTAGGTAATAACTTCATTTCAATTCCAGTTGAAGGGACGCGAAATATTTTCAGGGATTTCTGTTCTGGAAAGACTCCATAATACCACGAAATTATTTGACTGTTGCAATTAAGGCTAGTCCACCTATGTAAGTACCTAAACATTAAACAAAGTAGACTTTTGGTCGTTCTGCTTTTTTTTCCTGGAAATCACATAATTCACTCAGATGTTGTATGGAAAGGTAAGGGCTTACGATCTTGTAAAACCAGACACATATTGCAACATAACCAACGAAAAACTTTTTAGCAATAAAGATATTGAGTATTGAGTATTGAGTATTGAGAACTTATTGTTTAGCGCGAAAAGCGGATTGATGTGCTAAACGATGTGCCAATAGGTATAATTAAAAGCTTAACTCCAAAAAGTAGAGTATTTATTCGCAAAAGTTAATTTCGAAAGTTTGATGATGAAATGTGAACCAGTCTGTCTGGCTGGGTAATTACCGCTCGCTCGAAGGTCGGAGTCGTGTATGTAGATCAATATCTATTGTGCAATCTAATGCTAGCTACAATTACTGCTTAACCTGTATGACATTGGAAAGCTTAATTATATACATCTATCTAATTCGTCGCGCTTCCTAAGCTTTTAATACTTTACCTACTTTTTGTCTAGTGCCCGGTTTCTGAAGGCGTCGGTTATGTTTAAAATAGTTGTTGGTTCAATAAAGTTATCAATAAGATAAACGTCGGTTAACTGTCACTGCGTTTCTGAATACGCAACGAGCCTTTCAATAACTATGTAAAAGATAGTAAGTTCCTTAATTTGCCAATAGATGGGTCTTTTAAGGATAACAACTAAATTTTGATTTTATTTATTCTATTTCAGCTTTATTACATGTTTTTTAGGTAAATGTTTTTTTTTTCAAAGTTTTAAGTTATCAAAAACTGTTTCATTTAAAATATAATGATAATTTGTTATTTAGCATTGGCTGTATTGAACACCGTCCAGTGTCAATTAGAAAAAAAAGAAACGTCAAACAGACATTGTTGTCGGCTGCTTTGGAAAACGAAAACGATATCTTAAAGTAAACTCTTCATCAGTAAACATTTCTAAAGGATTTCTCCTTTGTCTTAAGTTTCTGGGTACAGAAATACAAGAAATAAACTCTAGTACTTCCATATCGGACTCAGATTAACTGCTTGTATTTAATATGCTCCTATTTATTGCTCTTCCCTAATTAGCAACTAAAGCAACTTTTACTTATTGAAATAATTTTGAAATTTACCACAAAAATTGTATAGTTTGACATTCGAAACGTCAAATAAAGTTATGGAACTGATAAACGGCACCAAATGGCGAGTTAAGATAGCTTTAGTTTAAACGGAGTTTATCTAACAATGCAATGCTCAGAAACGTAGTTGTAAGAGTTATCGAACCAATAGCGCTATCGAATCGATAAACTGCCGTTAACTGTACCTCAGAAACCGGGCATAGGTGGATCATACTTAGGATACTTTTTTTTGTCAGGGGAAAATCATCCAATGACTTCTCTCGCCCAGGGCCGGGCAGGAGGGAGTGTCAGACTCTTACTGACTAAAAACCCCCCCGTTCCTTTTTCTGCTCTGGGCCGAGGTCGCGGTGCCTTATTGCGCTTACCCCGCAACCCCGGCCCTTAGGATACTGCTGCCAAAGCGCAATGAGGTGAATGAATGATATTCCGCGGCTTAATCACAGAAGAAGGAAGAACGTGGTGGTTTTTGACCAGAAGACTAGAGTCTGCAACCCAGAGGAGTCTTGAAACAGGAGAAAGAACGGGTTGGTTTTTGGTCAGTAAGCATCTAATACTCTCCCTCGGATCGATCGCAGAAGCCATTGAATCATTTTTCCCCTGAAAAAAGGCGAATCTGAGGTCGTAGGGCCTTTGGATTAGTAGAAATCTTGTCCTTCTGTTTATGCAATGATTTTTGTCTCAAGTTTTTATGGCTTATTTAAATTGCAATGTATATAATATATGTGTGTATGCTTGTGAAGAAGAACCTTGTTAAAAAAAATTAAAGCAGATACCTTCGACTGATGAAATTCATATTTAATTTGCGTGACAATAAATGTGTTAATTGTATGGCTTTACTTAAAATCTATAATAAAATCTCAGGAGTTGTTGCCTCAATTGATAAAAGTTTTTTATAAACAAAAATTAATGCTTAATTTACTTCGATTTATCGCTATTTAGCATTCGGATTGTGTGTTTAAGACTGTAGTAAAAATCAGAAACCTCCCAATCACTCATAATCTTGCATTTTCATGAGCCTGGTAGGAACTTGAGGTACTGTAACCATCTCGGCAGCATTAATTGTTAGTAATCTAGCATTGAAAAAGAATGACCTCCAAACAATTGTATTCCAAACAAAAAATGTATAAAAACCTTAGATTTAATTAATCCTTACATATCTAATTACGCTTTGGAAAACATTAAATAAAAATATACGAATTATTTCAAACAAAACACATACAATAATGAAATATACATAAAAAACGTTGGATAATCTTAACGACGACGGATTATTAAGCATACAACCTTGAACTTCGCTAAAATTAAATGATTATTAGGTAAACACTTACCTACATAAGTAAGTTTACATTATCGATTAACACATAAGTTGTTAAAATCCGTTTAAAAAACAATTTGTTTTGATTTTACAACATGACGTTTTACGCTTTGTCGTTGTATTGTGATATCAGCAAACATTAGAGCAATTTTGACCAAGAAGACCCCTAGCGTACATCACGTTCGCCTCAAAAAGCCATTAGACCACCTCAAATCAGGCGTAATAGGGCCAATGTCCAGCGAGCTCCGAGCAGGAGAAGATACGGGATGGTTCTTAATCAGTAAGAGTTAAGAGTCTGACACTAGCCAGGGATCCCTCCCTAAGTAATATAATGATTTTGCCCTCTCAAAAAAAACAAAAAGCAGACATTGAGACACTCTATAAGAAAATAACTTACCTACCTAAGGTCAATGAAGTATTTTTTATTCTAAAATCTATACTTACATTATAAAGGTGAAGAGTTCATTTGTTTGAGGGCGCTAATCTCCGGAACTAGTGGTCCGAATACAAAAATTATCTTCGTGTTGAATAGATAGACCATTTATCGAGTAAGGCTAAAAGGCTATATAATATCCTGCTTCGATCTGTAGGAGATGAGCAGCGGGTGAAACTAGTATCTTAATATTTTGGGACTTAGATTACACTACCTTTAACTGCTATCAGAAGGAACTGAAGCAAGGTCTAGTTCAAACAAACTCACTTAGGTAATTTACGTGCATCTGTATTGCTCTGGTGGTTAGGTAAGTTATATTAAAGGCATTTTCTCACGTTTATATTCGCTGTAGGTCTGTGTGGCAGCGTGATGATGGCTTCAAAAGAGAATTTATAGCAA